TTTAACCATTCTCACGGATGCATATTGTTTTGTGGACCTTACCGCCTCATCAACCGTAGAATTCCGCGTGGAAATTATCCGGTAGGGGAAAGGATAGCTCCAAATAGAGTTTATCAATGAAAATTCTTGCACCTATCCCGCGTTCCATCTTTGATAATCTGTAATCTCGTGCCAGTAAAATTAGAGATGATTATGTCTCATGCTCTTAATTTTACCACGAAACCTTTTATAAGCCTAAATAGCTTTTGCAGCTTTGTTAATAACCATAATAATATATTTTACTCTTACTGTTTAACCATAGTAATATTATTTTACTGTTGATACATGTATTGCCGGTTTAAATTTTAATGTCTGTTATTGCAACAACTTCACTCAACGCATCTTTCCGAAATTTTACCGGTTGCTTTTACCGAAGGCATACTGTACTTAGTATCGGAATATCTGGTATCCAAACTGGTACCTTAAATACCAAAGTACTTAAGTGTGTCCATCACTGCTTAAGATATATAGTTCCAATGTCAGAGTCGACGAGTCTATGTAATTAGCTTATACCCCTTTAGGAGATGATTTGAAGATTACCTTAATCCCTTTCCATGATGATGATACATACATCTTATTACATTAAATGAGCAATTATTGTATAATATATATATATATCCATTTTAAGGTTATCTGAATAGGCGTTATCTCCGAGAAGACTCGTATAAAGTTGCCACCTATTCGAAATTAGTTGCAATTTAATTAAAAAATCCATCTCGTTTATATTTTTAATAGGGTTGCCACCTATTTTGAATCACATATTAGATATTTAATTTTTTGTTTAGAAAAAAAGTTAAAATATTACTATTCATGGGCACCAAGAGAAGGTACTTAAACAATGCTTTCCCTTATACAAAATATTATCTCTTAGGATAATACTGTAAGGTTGCCACTTATTTTCGATTTTACACAATTTATCTAAACATCACAATATGGATATCAAATCAAAGATATTGTTGAGAACTTTGGTCCGAAAATATTTTCCATCAGCGTTGCCACGCTTCTATGTAATAACAATTTTTATTTTGTTAATTTCAATCAGCAATTTTTTTTTATGTATACACAGTACATATATGCTCAAGATATGTACCATTCATTCCAGCGCATTCGGGAAAAGGATTGCCACCTAAACTTTAAAGCAAGGAATTTACTTAATTAAATTAAATTTACTTTGTTTATTGCCAACATGAAAACTTTAAAATGTACATATATTCACTACGGGCAAAGCTCGGTCAACCTGGTACTACCTATAAAATGAGTACGTAATAGTTTCGCCCCCAATTTCCTAACGAAGTTTCCAGGTGTGTCTTTCCTAACTGCCGTATTATTTTTTTTCGCATGTTGAAAAAGCAAATAGTCGAAAAGGGTCAAATCTGGACATTGAACTTTTGTTTTTGCTGACAGACTAATGTGTATTGTGCCGATACGACGAGGTTGAGTACCTAAATAATGCATGGCTTTGGTCGATAGTCGAATACCCGTCAAATATTGCCGTCTTTTGTGCCGCACTTTAAAACCCCTAAAATTTGTTTTGCGCTAAGTCAAAGAATCAACGTTTTTACTCCATCTTAAAAATTTTGAAATAAAACCAATTAATCATAATTATATAATATATATAATACAGTATATACTAAACATATAACTAAGAAGTGTAATATTATAAAAAATAAAAGAAAGGCCATAGTAATTTTAATCCTCGCACACACTGTACGCACTGCATTCTTTGTACGTCCCTAAAGCCAATTGCCTTCAAATTGCATTGTCAACTCCCTATTGCTCTACCATTTTGAATTTCCACCTCGTTATAGCTATTTATTACAAGTACTCGTGTTTTCCACATTTTCTGACTTGGCTTTCGGCTTTTTTTTGGTGGCAGCCAATTGTTTACTGCTGCACCGCTTAACCCACTTATTTAACTCCATAAAATCAATACAAAAATTGTGTGCAACCTGCCGGCTGCACTTGGCCATTTGAGGTCTGTTGTTGCCGTCACCGTACTCGCCACCTTCGTCGCTTCCAACACTGCCGGCGCTGCCATGCCAGTCGTAAACTTAGCTAATTGTTTGATCCACCCCTTAGTGGCGACTGCTATGTAGCAGCCAATGACCAGCGTGCGACGCAATGCAGTCAGCTGTTTGGCACTTGGCCGGGCAATTTACGTAGACCACTCGTTTGTCGGTCAGTGTGATTGAAGAGGTGAAAGGGTGGCGCAAGGATGATGCAATGATTACTGTTATAAATGTACTTCGATACTTGTTTACATGTGTTTGTTGATAAGTATTTTTGTATGTATGTATTTATGTATGTTTGTAGGTAGGTGGGCGGATGTACAACTAGCCCACCGGTGCCGCTCGTAAAGCAAAGTTGCTCGTTAAGCTGATTCTTTTTTTTATGCAGTTAGTTATTTTTTATTGTTTTAGCTGCGCGCTTATCAACTTTACATTTGCGAGGTTGCATGTTAGCTCGAATGTTGGCAAACCACTTTGGGGAGTCACAAATTTTTTAAACGCAATTTTAGATTTAAATTGCAGCGCAGCATATCCCAGAGGAGTAGGTTGGTTGGCTAGGGCGGTGATTTAATGACTTTTGGCTTTTGATTGCAGGCAGGCAGCTGTTCCAATATGCACTTGTTTTTTTTTTATTGATTTTCTGCTCACTTAAAGTCACAGATTCACCTCTACTGATTTTAATCCTTCCAGCAGTGTAAATCTACTAAAAGTGTACACAGAACTTAAATACTTTGAAGCAGCAGAACCTTCATTGCCTTAAGTCGATGTAAGCATCACGTTTGTATGTGTGTATTTGCAGCTTGTCATTGGCTGTCTGTTATCTATGTAATATATGTATGTATAAGCACATGTATGTATAGTGCTAGTTTTTCCCTCAAAACTGTCCTACCCATTTTTGCCTCCTTTTTTGTTTTATTGTTGTGATTTGTATAAATTCAATTTTGGTTACAAGCTGTCATGTGGGCATTGCAAATGCATTAATCATGAGCCAACAGCAGCAGCTACAAGGATTACTGCTGTTGTGCATTTGTACAGGCTTAGCCAAAAGTATTAGGCGCACCACTATATTATGATTTAAAATTTTTTGTTTTTTTTTTTGTTTAATTTTTTTTTTATAAAAGCCTAGTTCACTGTTTAGCAAAGAACATATAATAAAGAACTTGAAATTTGCACTTTGTTATACTTAAATTTTTTTTCTAAAAATTATCCTGAATAAAAAGTTTGAAATTTTGGTGAAAATTTGCAGTTATGAATTTTTTTTTAACACCGAAGTTAGGTAAAATGAGAACATTACAAATTTACAAATTTTTAATTTTTTTTTTGGAATTTCTTTTTGACTATGCAGTTCTGTAGTACATTAAATTTGAGTACAATAAAGTGCAAGTTTTAAGCTACTGCAAAATTGCTTTGATTTTAAATATTTTTTATGCTTACGGCTTTTTGCACTTTTTTCTTATGGAAGAAAATGTGCAAAACCGTTTTCAAAGAAAATTAAAAAAAAACGCTAGTTTTGCAATCGCTCAAAACTTGCACTTTGTTATACTTAAATTTAATGGGCTACAAAAGTTCATACTCAAAATAATTCTGAAAAAAAAAATTTAAAAATTTGTAAATTTGTAATGTTTTCATTTAACTACTCATCATAACTCAAATTATTGTAGAGTGCACCCCGAAATACTATACTTATATATTGCGCAACACGCAGAGCTACTTCTTTTTGAGACGGCATATTTTCAAAAACTAATTTTTTTTATAAAAAATTTGTATGCGAAAAATTTTTCAAGAAAAAAAAATTAAAAAAATATTTATTTTCATAGAAAATTTTTATGTGTGATTGTGTGATTTTTTCGAATTTTTTCCTCGCCCCGTTCTCGAGATATTTGGAAAACTATTAAATCGATTTGTTTTGGTTTTTGTGCTGTAAAATTTTAAAAAATGTATTAATCAAGCTCAAATTTCATATTTATTTATTACTTATGTTTGTCCATCAACCCTAAAAATTTTAAACAAATCAAACACATGAAGTGTGAACCCCGTCCATTTCGATATGGAACGCCCCATATACATATTTTAGTGCCTAATACTTTTGGCCAAGGCTGTACGTGCATATATTGGCAGTATTTCTGCGTATGTGCTTGACTGTGTTTATACGCTGCTGAAAGGCCTCGTGTTCGCTTATGTCCTCTCTGTCAACCGCAATGGCTAACCATTAAGCGTTGTTGTCTGTGCTGTTTGTGGCTTCCAAATGCATTGGTAAAAGATATAAACAAAAACTGGAAAGTCGCCAAAGGAAAGCAAATTTTTTCAGCCGATTTTAGTGTTGCTGTCATCCCCTTGAGTAATTTCATATTGCACTTTGCACAAAGTTATGTGAAACCCTACTTCGATTTGTAAGTCTTGGGGATAAAAGGAAAACAGATTTTATTTTGTCTATACTGGATGACTACAACTCATGGATGGAAGTTAACTAACGTTTTAGTGTTTTTTTGTGTGATATGAATTGTCATTGGGGTCCGTGGGGTAAAATTTTACACTGCAATGCACATGAACCTAAAGTATGTAGACAGTAATCTGTGTGATGCGAAGTGTCGAATACTTTTGATAACCAAATACCCAATTAATGCTTTAAAAATCGGGCACACTTGATAAAGTACCAGAGATTATTTTGAAAAACTGTTGGTGGTTTTACTGCTGAAAATAGGTATATCGTCACCTGAAATGCAAACAGACGTTGAAATGCAAAAAGTCATAACCAATAAAAAATTCAAAATTCACTTTTTGATTTATATGATGGATTTCATGGAATTACACATCATTTTATGAAAAAAAAATTAAAATATTAGTCACCATTTTTTTGGTTGGCACCCCGGCACTATAAGTCCCTAATTTTAAGCATAAATTACTTACAACATCCAAATTAATTCTTTACACTTTCAATTTATTCATTTCCAGCAGCTCCATTCGGAGTATCGGAGCACTTATCGCTGGCATGAGTTCACTGGCAATTCGCGGCCTGAAGTGGTGCGTCGTGCACCAGCGCCCAATCCCAGTCAATTTATCGGTGAGTTTGAACTCTTTGTATAACTAAATTATGTATTAAATTAATTTAAAGTTTATGCGCTTACGCTACTTGCAACTACTTATATTTATATGTACATAGATATGTAGAAGTATTTAAAAATTAAAAAATATTTCAAAATTTGTAAAACTTTTTATTAAAACTAAATTGTGCTTGAACGCTTAACTTCAGTTACTATTCAAAACTATCTTAAGCTTCATTAACAGGTCCAACGAATGAGCCACCGTTACCTAGGCGGAAAAAATGTCCCGAATTGGCATACAAGTCGCACGAGTTCATTATTGGTTCGGAGTATACAGATGCGAGAGGTGGACATGCCAATCGGTTAGCAAGGGTGAGTAAATAAAAAAAATATATGTAAATATATAAGAATTATTCTTTACAATGTAAAATTAGAATTTTGATTTATACACTATTCCCTATCATCTGATGTGATGATATCAATAGCCGTAAAAAAATCTTATTATTATACTACATATTATATCAATTATATAGGTTTTCATAGAACGGTAGCTACAGGTAAACAATATGAAGTTTTTAGGAAAAGCACTTGGCGCAGAAAATAAAGTAGTAAGGTTGCTAATTTCTAGCCAATAAAGTTCCTGGGAAGTTTTGGTAAGACTTCAGCCTTACAAATGTCATCTTCCACGAAGGTAGGGCAATGGAAGCTCAAAAATATAATATGGCGCAACGAATTGGTTTCTGATGAACCATGCCCTGTCCGGATCCCTGCCAGAACAGAGCATTGCCGCCCAGCCCACTGAAGAAGCTCCTAGCCCAGCCCAGAAGAACTAATCATTTAGTGGTTCTCTCATAGCGCAAGCTGAGCCGATTAAAATCCCATCAATCTAGGAAAAGTCCATTGGTACCACAACTAGTTTTATACTTTATTTTTATCAGAAGAGATAACCTCAAAGATGCTCTGTCTAGCCAAGTCAATAGGCAAGCAACCCGATTCAGCGTGACTTGGAAGTAATCAGAAAGGTACACAGAGTAAGGCCAGACATTCATCGACCAATTTGTGTCGCACCATTAGCGATGATAAAGATCTGACTGTAATTTGGCTGTCAGAGAATTACCCTTCTGGTAGATAATAAACTAGAGTGCTGGCAGTTGACTACCTTTATGGCGATTACCTCGGCTACAACTTCCCTGCAGAAGTCACTCAGTCTAAAATATTAATGCAGACACGCCCTTGAACTCTATCCTTACAAAAATGTTTAAAGGATCCAATGATGGTAGCCAATCTCGGTAGGCACCCGGTCCGTTTCTTCAGGTATGGAGTCGAAATGCCCAAAGAATGGTGGACACTCATACACCTGTTTAAAAGATAGCCGAAGCTTCCTTGCCTGATGGCGGGGCGATTTGCGGCATAAGAAATCATCAGTCTGAAAATCTTGGCAGACACGTCAGCATTTCTTTCTCATTGCCGAATAAACGTTGCCCACGCAAAATTTTTCAAGTTCTGAAAAATATCCAAAGTCTACTTGATTCACGTAGATCGCACTGAGTCTGCAATATGGCACATTTGCAACTCTTTGAAGTTGTACAGACTTAACGGGCTTAAACCAGTTGTTTGTCCCGTCAGTCAGTCCGCAGTAGTTTACCAGGGGAAACAGGACAGTCTGCAGGCCAACACAAGTAGATTAACATGGTATAGAATTCGATGGGAAACGAGCATTGAGAAGAAGCGTAAGCGAGGATTCGCTGAATTATAACGATTCATTACGGCCTTCCACTTTTTTGCAGAATTTCTCCATGAACAGCTTTGGTCTTCTTCATTCAAGCCTATTCAATGTCCTTGTTTACTGAGGCCATACCTGTCCCTCCTTTGGTCCTATACATATGTCGTAAAATCGTCCGATATTGATGACAGTTCCCTCAGATGAGACAGCTTGTGTTTTATGGTATGACTTATTCTACACTTTCACTCATACAGTTACCTCAACCACGGGATTTTCTCATTTTGCAACTCCGGAAGACTATATTTTCAAGGCCATAAATTATGACTCTATATGACAAAATGAACCCATACCAGCGTTTAAGGTTCCTCTGACCTATCGAATCGAACTGTACAGTTTTGCGTAGGTAAATTTAAACTGCAGTACGTCGAACTCATCAAACGAGGGATACACATAGACCGGCACGCGACGCAAGTGGAGATCCTTTTTGTTCCGCATTAGAAACGCTGTAGCGTTAAATATAAAATGCCAAAGTCTAGTCGGCGTAGACATTTTATTTATTAATGTCATAATGTCACCCAGTACTTGTAACAGCATAGAGGTGGGTCGCAGATTCTTCGGAGAACCTTAGCAAAAAAAGATAAAGGTTATAGCGGCGCCCACACGCTTCCAATTTTCACTGCGTGTGTCGTCATCCTCTGCGCTAAGATGAAAAATCTGCTGGGTGACGTAGTCTGCTTGCTTAGTGACTTTGCTGAACGGAGCGGGCGCATCCCCGATTCTAGCTCTTTTCAAAAGGAAGCTTTCCCCTCTTTGCCCTTCATAGAATGCGAGCTCTGTAGTCTATTAGCCGAGCTCTTTGATTCCTCTTTTAGATCGTATAGCACTCTTTAATCCAGATAACTTGAAAATATCTTGGCTGCCGAAGCGTTCCAAAATATTGGTCGCTATGTACTGGTCCCGTAGTCTGACCTGAAGGCTATACGCAGAAGGCCGAAAAGCTATGTAAGTGAACAACCCTTTCTGGTTTTAGCGATTTCGGCCAACATGAATCAAGCCGACACCCATTGACCGCTCGCCCTGACACCCAGTTGCCTATTAATTCAAGAGACTCAGATGGAATTGGTTTCCGACTCTTCTACCGTCTTGGTGATGACTGAGCCTGCACTTAGATCCGCTACCTAAAACCCCTTGCCAAGGAGGCAACTCTATATTTAACATAATTATTTTTTTCTGGATTATGTTGTTCTTTCAACAAGCTATACAGTAAATATCGACTTACAGATATTCATCATTATGAGAATACTTTAGCACAATGTAAGTTTATAAATATCTGTCGCATTAATAAAACTACAATTGTCATAGCCATTTGCATGAATATAAAGTTAAGCAAATATAGCAGCATTAAGACCGCCATTCTGTCGCCCCCTTACACAAAAGTAGATACTGTGTGTTTGTGAAAACAATAACTTTTTATTGTTAGTCATTTCATGATCGCCTTCATAAAATACCCATTTTCCATTATTTCTATATAATAAGCATTTATGCTTGATACTCATCTATATGAAAAAGTATCTATGCACATATGTATGTCAGACTTCGTGTCCATCATTTTAAAATTACAGTCAGCATTGTCTGTGCTTCGCCAAGAGTCGAGCGTGTCCTTGTTTTGTATGGCGCGACGAGATGTGCCTTGGCAAGGACGATTACCGTATGAATCAAAGTTGGTTTAAAAAAGTTTTTTTTTACCATAGAATTTTTTAAGCCACTTAATGGCATTTGTACGAACATACATAATCACAAGTAAGAGCGCTGGTATGCATGTATGTGCTATCGTGTGCCACTTTCGCATTTGATAAATACGCAGTCGGTAAATATTTCAACTGCAATGGTAAAAACAACTCGGTAAACCTTGTTTATTTAGTTGTAAAAATGCTAATTTCTATTTACCGAAACTCAAATGTAAACCGCACGAAACACAGGCAGACGTGCGTATGTGCAACGATGTATACATACGAGTATGTATGTATTTACATCCCACATGCTTCACAATCAACGCATACGAGTATGCTTTTTTTTCGTTTTTTATAATGCAGTTAACCGCTGCTCCATCCACCTGCGATATTTAGAATTTAGAATTTATTTAAATTTCATGGTTTGTTAATACGCTAAGCGCACATTTACGTCAATTAATGAGCTCTTAATGCTAGAATTGTCGCACATACATAGTTAGTCATGCGGTTTTGAAATTCTTTGAATGGATTGAGGGTTTTTGGAGTACATAAATACATGCATCTTTAAGCGTACTATTCCATATTCAATTCGTTTATTAATATGCAAAGAGTAATACACGCAATCAACGGAACTGAACCGAACTTTTTATACCCGGAGTGGTTTTTCCCGAATTTGAAATATGTATGTATTTACGATATTATGCTTAGTTTGACTTTATAAAATAATTGAATAAAGATTGGTCAAAATCGATAAAGTGTCTACCGTTATTAGTGATGCACAGAACCGAGGAACTGGAACCGGAGAAACTGGCCATTTAGAGAACCGATGGGTCCGGTTTTTACAAGAACCAAAAACGGGTCTAACGGAACCGTAAACGGTTCCAGAAAAACCGAAACTCGATTCCAAAATACCCCAAAAACGGTAGAGGAAAAACCAAAACTCGATTCCAGAAGAAAATCAATAAATAAATCTAAGTAGCTGGAAAGCCATTTCAAAAGAACCTAAAACGGTTCCTTGTTATTATTTGCCTCTGTAACCGCCTCAGCGATTTTGGCTGAGTTCAACAAAGCACGCTAGTCGTTTATTTTCTGTATGACGCCAAATGGAAATGCCAAGTGATGCCAAGTCCTTCTCCACTTGATATTTCCAACGCAGTGGGGGCCCTCCCTCTACCTCTGCTTCCACCAGCGGATTCCTAGTTTAATACTTTCAGAGCTGGATCGTCGGTGTCCATTCGAACGACAGGGCCAAGCCAGCGGAGCCGTTGTATTTTAATTCGCTGCGCTATGTCCATGTCGTTGAAAAGCTAATAAAGCTCGTCATGCCATCGTCTACGGTAGTCGCCGTCGCCAATGCATAAAGGCCCGTAAATCTTCGGTAACATTTTTTATAATACTCCAAGGCCGGCCTCATCTACGCCACTTACCAATACGGGCATGATGAGTGACTCATAGACTGCGGTTTTCGTACGACGAGAGAGAAATTTACTTCTGAATTTCCTACCCCATCCAAAGTAGCACTTGTTGTGCAAGAGTGATTCTGCGTTGGATTTCGGTGAGTGGTGGTTTAATAAAGCTGGATTGCCACTGAAGATGCTAAAAATGTTTTAGCGAAACGTTGGGCCAGAAAGTGGAATAATGTAGTTTTATTCGCACTAAAAACATAGATCAGACTAGCCTGGTAACATAATATTTAATAAATTACGAACTGATCGGACAATAAAACATATAGGGGACATTATTTTCGGTGTTAATGCTGGTTCCTAATTAAATGATAGGCTGGAACGCCTTTCTTGCGGAATGGGGCTGAGTACATTTAAATTCCAGTCGAAGGGCGTGCGTTCCTCTAACCATATTCTGCGTAAGAGTTGATGCTGGCACCTTATCAGCTCCTCGCCGCCGTACTTGAATAGCTCGGCTGTCAGGCCGTCAGCTCCAGCAGCTTTGTTGTTTTTTAGCCACTATTCGCGCGTCGTCACAGTCAGGTGGTCGGGAATCGACTCCATTGCCATCGGGGGTGGTCGGGTTGGTTCATCTTATCCACTCCTTTCAGTACTGCTACTTTCAATAGTGTGGAACAGTGTTCCCTCCATAATTTAAGTGTGTTCTGTACATCGGTCGCTAGGTTACCGTTGTTGTTCTTACAGGAGTTCATCCTGCTCCTGAAACCTTCTGCAAATCGCCAACTCTCGGTTAAAATTTTTGGTCGTACCTCGCGTTGCGCCCGGTGGCCGCATCTGTTTTCTCTGCAGCTTCGTGGCATTCCTTATCGTACCAGTTGTACTTTCGGGCTCGCTTAATCATATATAAAGAAATAAATACATTTGTTCATGGGTAATATTGAAAAACCCTTTGTTTATATAGTTCCGAAAATGTTGTCCCTGGAATTGGATATAGTTTCTATTATGATTATACGCTCTTTATTTATATTCGCAGTCTTTTATAAATACAAATAACTACTTCCATCATTTTATTCGATCCTAATAGAAGTTTATTTCTTCATCTATTTAATTTCGCAGTCTGAAGAACGTGGTGGTACACCATCACGCCGGAGCAAATCTGAGGGACCGCCAGTTGTGCCCAATGGACGTGCATATGCCATACCGGAGGAAGTTGATGGAACGGCTAAAAAACAGGTATATTTTTAGGGGCATGCCTTTGTTTTCAAAATCAGTATTTTAATTACCAAAGATTGCTTAAACTTATGTACAAAAATATGTTTGTATGCTATGAATATACATATGAATGTCATATTCAGATTAGCGCAAGTATTTGCATTAGCGCATATGATACATATGTATAGTGATTGTGTGTAACGTCTTGTGTTGGTAAATTATATGTGTGTTTGTCTGCAAAAATATATAAGTGGCATAACAATAATATATTAATGTGTATATACAAAAGAAAAATTATGAAATATTTAGAAACATGCAGACTTATTTACCTTTGATGCATATTCGTGAGTGTGCGGTTAACGATCTAAACATAGAAACAAAACATTAAGTTGAAATTGTTGTACATAAATAATTTTACCGGTCAGGAGATGTACTTTTCTCTTGACACTTATATTGGGATAATTTGTATTTTCCTCAGTTAGAATCCTTATCTATTTAAATAAAAAAAAACAGGTTTCTTGGCTAAACATAATCTTTATTGGGTTCTTTTAAAGATGTTCATGCATTAGGTTCTAAATTAAAGGATTATAACCTAGGATATTTTTTTTCATTTCAACCTAGCCATTGATCGGGTCAAAGGGTTAGTTAGTTGTTGAAGTACCTAATTACTGCAGAACAAAAGACACTGCCATAAGAATTTTTTTTGTGTCTTTTGAAAGCAGAGTCTCTAATCCAATATACCTTTGGCTTCCCTGACGAATCACAAAGTTGCCTTGGTAGGTGAATTATTTTTTGCAAGGGTTCGACTATTGCATCTTTTAAATAGATATATTTTTGACTGACCAAGGCCCGACAGTCATGTCACTAGGAACTTTTCTGCATCAAAAAAAAGAGAATTTTGAAAAAAATGCCGCTAACTACTTTTTGGCGGTTAGGGCTCGATATGTTCTGAAGTCTTCCCATCGTCTTCAGAGAGGAGCCGTCATTCTGACTTTGTGATCACATCCAATCGGTGCATGTGAAATTGCAATCGGTTGTGACGAGTCAGGTACCCATAGAATAGCTTAACGTCAATTCTAATAAATTAAACAAGAACGTCTGTGCTGAAAAGGTAGCTAAGAAGCCTGGCCTGTCTATGGCCCACACAGCTAGTAGGTACAAGTTTACTGACTAAGTAATTATGGCTCTCGAACACGACCAACTGTGACCACAGAATGATTCCGTTTCCAAAAAGGCAGTTAACGAGTCTTCCTGTGCCAAGTCGTCAGCGACCTCTTGTCCTTCGATTCCACAATGGCCTGGTACCCACCACAGTATAATGTTTTATGTGCCTACCGAAATTTATAGCTTGTCAAAGCAGTCTTTAACCACATTGGATTTTCTCATTCAGTTTGACAGGCGAGCTGCATGATATCTGAAAATATAGGTAGAAAGTGGCGCTTTAAACCCTTTTCAGGGTTTAATTTGGCGTAGGTTCAAATTTTTAATACTTACATGGGAATAGAAAGCTGGGTATAAGATTAATAAATACCTGCACGTGCTGTGTTCTCCATCCTTAAAATTACAGTTTTAAATTGTCTCATTTGCAGTAAAGCCTATTTTGTTACAAACAAAAATCAAGCTACTAACGAAGAAAATCGATGGATAAATTAAAAAAAAAATTGTAAATACGCAAATGGAAATGCGTTATGCCCAATTTCCACTAGGCATTGAAATGAAAAAAAAATTATGCAATTTAAAAAATGCCACGTGGAAACGAACATAATGACTATTTTTTAACGTAATGACACGATTATTTTTTAATGTCCAACTTTGTCATTTTTGCCATTTAATGTCTAGTGGTAATCCAGCATTACAATTTGTTGTATGATGTTAACGCATACGCCACGTACGACTATGCTATTTTTAAATTTTTTCCCTCTTAAAGTTAGAATTTTTTTTCATTTACAATGTAAACTTCAAATAAGAATATCTTGGATAAAATTACCTGATCTAGAAAAATGCTGTACAGATCCGTAATATACAACCCAAAATTTAGTTTACGTGTCTCGGCGGGTTTTGTGTTATTTTAGCCAAACTACGGTGTAGTTTTTAAGTTTTATATAAACTTGTGTATATATATTTCATCTTTAGCACAGACTTATAACAAGTGCCTAGCTTTAACAGATAAATTTGTTTAAAAAGGACTTTCGCATGTTCATTTGCCAAGCATGTGAGTGAAAATGTATTCAAAAACAAGAGTTGTAAAATACATAGTATAGAAAATTTTTAAATTTTACTTTGAATGTTGACTGTTTAAGCAGCTTTGTAAATACGTAAATTCTATGTAGTACGAGTGGCCTATATCTATTAACTTGGTTGTCTTAAATGATGTAAAATAATATTGGCAACATATGAGCTGGAAATAGATTTAGACCACTCAAGTCTTCAAATACGAAGGCACTTTGAATGTTGGTTATAACTTAAATATATTTATTTCTATTTATTGTTTTTATTTTTTGCCACAAAACAACAATTATGTTTGCTATGCATTTCATAAACATTAAATCATTTATGTACATACAAATCAATATAGTATCAATGATTTGTTGCATCCCTTCATTTATATATAAATTCACGCATATGTAAAGGGGGTATCCACACGTGTGTCGTAAGTGTCGCGGTGTTGTACATATGTATATTTGACTAGATATATTTTTAAGGATTCACAAGGTGTCATACATACCTAATAGTTTTTTTTTTATATACGTATATTTTTTATGTAATTTCAAGTTCTCCAAAGATAATTCCAACCCCCCCAAAAACCTCTCGGCCGCTGTAGCTGAGTGAGACCTGGATTCGATCTCTGGTCCGAGCAACATCTAATTTAGAAATTATTTTTTTCTAACAGCAATCACTCTTTAGCAAAAAATAAAAAACTTTCGAATGCATTTCTACTATGAAAAAGCTTCTCATAAAAACCAGTTGCCGATCAGAGGCTGCGTAAGTCTGTAGCTCCCTCCATTTGTCTAACGCAATGCCACAAATTGGAGAAGAAGCTCGGCCAAACACTTAGCAAAAGTGTAAACACCAAATTATTATTATTATTATTATTATTACTAATTCTTGGAGAAGCTATCCATCTGCGGATAGTTGGCTGCATTATTTAGTTCCAAATGAGACAGACGCCTATTTGAGATGAGATGTCGAAGAAAGTATAAAGCACAATTTCTTCACACTCACATGCACTTTCTATATCCGTAGCTCAGTAAAAAATTTCTCTAAAGCAGGGATCAGACGATTTGTACATTTGTACACAAAATGCCAAATTTAGATTTGTTCACATTTGCGCATATGGATAGCGATGTACAAATGAGTTGTTTTGCGATCAGACGATTTGGCTGCCAAAGATCCAAATGATTTGGCACACATTTGCGCACAGCAGTAAAGTGACAAATATTGTCCAAATTCATTCACACGATTTAACCATTTGGTCATAAATACTTAAACAGTTGATCCGGTGTCAACCATACTTTTGCATTTATGATTTCGTGAGATTTGAAGTGAAATAAACAAAAATAATATATACGCACAGGTACTCAGAATTTTGAATACACCCTCAAAAT